TCTTTGCTTCCTAAAAAAAGTGAAATTTGATAAACGCTCTTTTAACAACCGTCGATATATTGAGGAAAACAAAATAATATTAAATTAATAATACTGCTATCTAGCTAAAGATACATTCACATTTCGATTATTTCTAAATTTGTATTTATACATAATTATATTGACTCGTTCAACTATCGGCCATTAATTAAAAATTGTTTAACGATAGAGCTCGCTGTATATAACAAGATAAAGTTTGCTGTAGGTACCACAAAGATAATTCCTAGTAATGCAAAACTAGTAATGGTTTATTTTTTGTACAACTAGTGTACTTTTCCGAGAATGTGTTCCTGTTTCAAATTAAAATGCCAAAAATAAAATCGACTCTTTGTAAATATGTTTAAACATTTAAAAAAAAATATTTCAGCATAACTTTTTAATATATTTTAGAGTGTAGCAAAGAATGACGTATTGATTTTACATAGATGTTTATTTTTTTATACGTAAAATTCTGCCAGTAATCTTACAGGTAAGGTAATTTTCGTGGGGTGGTACATAAAAGAATTCATTGTTTCATTTTCCCAGGAGTTTTCCCTATATACGGGAAAAAAAATGGTAAAAACCGGGAAAAAAACGGGAAAATAGGTACAATATTAAACAAATATTATTAAAGAAAATATATAATGCTTATGTAATAGTATTTTACCATAATATGACATATTATATAATGTTGACAAAGCAACACTTTTAACCGAACTTCGCTCTGAATCGTTTTTCATTTATAATGGTTAATCGTTGCATAAGGATTAATTAAATTTCCTCTCTACCTTCCGCACTTCCCATCTATTAATAACCTACAACCTACAACCTATTTATAACAGTGGCCCACCCACGTGCAAAGTATGTCCGTCTTTTTATCATCGATTTTATAAATTTAACTAACATGACTATGTTTGTTGGTATATTTTACTTATTTTTAGTGCATATTGTTTGAATGAAAATAAACGCATAAATGCATACCTATTTCGTACGGTTTTCGGTGCATATCATTTCCGGGTCCCAATTATTGTACAAATTTTATTTTAATGAATAGGTAATACAATATAATATTATTATACAATACGAAGAAGAAGAGGTCATAGCAGTAGGGGGGGGGTGGGAGGGAGGAGCGGCGCACCCGGTTTGAAGGAATAGTTTCAAATTCATTTTCGTATACTATGTGCCGATAATAGCTCGTTATATTTTAATATAATTACAACATCTATAAAAAGTTATAGGGTAATATAAAAATTATTTAATTTGGATTTTTTTTTTATACATATATATATAATGTACTTGCAAGCGTGAACAAATATACACACACACATATATATGTTCTTCAAAATGATTATTTATCGATATTTCGAATGTGAAATAATATATATAAATTAATAATTACGGCGTGTGTGTATAGCGAAATATGGTAATTATACCATTATAATATAGGTAGGTATACCTAATGTGTATACGTTATTTTATATTTTTTATGGTTATTTTTATAACCGTGTTTACACTTTTAAACTGAATATAATACACTGCGACGGTCGTTGTAGTTTTTTTTTTTTTATATTTCTCTCGTGCCATTAAATCGTATTTCTTTGTTACTATCGAGCGACAGAAAAATATATTATATACACACACACATATCCTTTATGTTAATTTGCTTACATTTTACGCGTACCTGCCTAACCTATACTTATCTATCGCGCCGTATCAATATCAATAAACGTATTTTATAATGATGCGCGAGTTTGAAAATCTGAAAAAAAAACAAAAAAAAAAAATCACGTTTTTGTCCAGTTAAAAATATGTTCGCATTTCGCGACGATATTAATATATCCCTACGGATTCCAGTCCGTATGAATCTGTAACTACAAAATACAAAATTACAATACGGCTCGTTTTTTTAAAGAATTTTCGTCGTGAATTTGAATTTATTCAAACCTTTACCTGTACAAATCTATTAAGACGTTAAAATTTGTTTTACCGCCAATCAAAACTCCAAACTCATATTAAACTCTGTGCCTACTGAATTGTTGAACATTTTTACGGGGGGGGGGAGAGCTCATATTACTGATGGGTCCGATAGGTGTGCCACAGTCGTAGCTGTGAAGCCGGGAAAGGTAAGATACATATAATTATTTCGTTTCTATCTTTACGCAACGAATCAACACGATTCTGGACGAAGTTAAACGCGTATTGAAATACATTGATAATACTGCGATTTTCGTCAAACTTGAAGTTAATGTATTAGGCTTGTAAAATTATTTTAAAGGTGATTGACGTCCATTGTCTTCCCGGCCACGGGCGCTGGACAGCGATTAAAGTGATGGGGGGGGGAGGCGGATGGGGATGGAGTTTACCTTCTTATTAACGGTAAGATTACGCGTCTTGTTTGATTTGAGCCTCTAAGGTCCGGGGAGGGGGGGGGGGGGGTAGCTTGACGAGAAATTTACATCGGACCGGTGTGGATGAACGGGAAACATGATATTCAATGTATGCGTAAATTAGTCGGACCCGGGTATGACGGCCCGATTAACTGACCGGACTCGGGGCGTCCCTTGCCCGTACCACCGCGGGCGCGTATACACAATTGCCGTGTTGTGACGGATACGCTGTAACGTTATCCGCGCGCAAACATCCAAGTCTAAACGCATAGTATAACCGACCTAAATGGACTTAGCTGTGTTAAATTTATCGCGCTCGGTCCTCCGGCCGTGCGTGTTACAAAATATCGGCGCGGTACGCGTACGCCCGAGACACACGCTGCGCGTTCGCCCTTTTAAACGGCCGACGGGTTTCGGTATTTATTAGGTCGGCGCTAAACCCGCACGAGACAGCGCCGTAATATTATTATTTTTTTTTTTTTTTACGCCGACAGAACTTATATATACAGCGGCCACACATATTATAGTAGGGTATACCTTACAATATACGCCTGTACATTACAGTATACGCTTTAAAATGTTATTAGGATAATACCATCGGTTCTTCCTACGCGTTTTTGTCCGCCATCTACGTATATACGTTTATGCGTGTACCGGAGAAGGAGGGGGTAGCGTTTGTTTTGGTTTTTGTTATTTTTTTTATAGAATAATAATTGTATCGGTTTTTTACGCCGTGCTTGTATGTAAATAAAATGTTTTCGGATATTGTATTAAGTGAAAGCGTATTTCATACTTGTATGTGTATGTATGTACGTACGTACGTATGCCTCTGGTGTGTGTGTGTGTGTGTGTTTGCGTGATATAATAAATAAGTGTGGCGTTTATAAGCGGTTTTATGTGTAACGTTTCAATATAGAACGAAAAAAAAAATAGCGATTACAATGATATAATATAAGTCGAAAAGAACAATTGAACATTTCGCGAATGAAAAAAATAACTGCCGTAGTATTTAAAAAACAATTTTAGTCGTGCACGTCTTGAGATCCGTACGTTATATAATATTTCAAATCTGTGTACGTGTTATGTCTGCGATATAATATTATTACACTTATGTATACATTTATTATAGAAGAAAAAATACCGCCGATTAGATAGATTTCTAAATTTTTATACTCGCATGTTCGGATGTTCATATTGCGGTCATAATATACGTAGTCTGGAGAGTCTAAATATTATTGCCCCGGGCCTTTTTATCCGAAATTGTTATTTTTGTCAAATTCAGATTTATTATTTTTCGTTGAATGTATATTTTATTGGCAGCAGTTATCGTATTATTATATCGGTGTGTAATATAAAATTAAATATTACACCGATATGAGGTACTGGAGGAGTTTCAAATAATAAAACAAAAGAGCCAAGAAGGTGAATTAGTGAAAACTGTCATACATGTTTTAAAAAAAGTGCCATAAGTAGAAAAAAACTTCCCATCTTTTAGGGTGTGACATGAAAAAATCGAAGCATATTTACCAAACAAAAAAGTGAAAAACACAATAAAACTAGCCTCGCCGTTAGACTAGGAATTAAAAAAAAAAGATACGAATAACTGCGACCTGGGGCTATAGCCCCTCCTTAATCCAGCCACGATAATTTTGTATATTTGTATGGGTAGGAGGCGTTAGTAATTAAAATTACTTTTTTTGAATAGTAATCATTATTTTTGTCACCAGATATGGATACATCATTTTTTTCTTAGTCATTTTGATTCATTGACCGTAATGGACCTTACCGCACAATTTACCGTGTTGCAGCTTTTTGAAATTTGAAAATAACATACTTGCATTGAGTGATTTTTTTTTATGAATTTGGAAATATGTATTATGAAACAAAATTGTAATTACTTTGTAACATATAATATAATTTTTAATTTTTTCACCTTATAAAATGTTCGAAATTCCTTTTTATAATTTACTAGGTACTCACGTTTCCAGTCGAAAAAATCCAATTATTTTCAAATTTCAAACCGCTGTGAATCGATCAATTTTACGATATGGTCAATAAATCAAAATGACTTTAAGAAACTGATGTATCCATATCTGATGACAATAAATAAGCGAGGGGGTAAAAATATGAAAAATACCCCAAAGTGTATACTTCGGTACTTCCCATCACCCCCCGAAAACCCCATTTCAATCTAACATGGTTGGGCTGAGATATGTAGTGGTACATATAAGGCGTGACACACCGTATGCACATAAAAATAATAGCTTTTTGTTTTTTTTTTAGCACTTCGACAATATAGTTATACGATAAAAATAGACCTATACAATATCGATTTAAATATATAACTATGTTTCCATTTTATAATTCGTCATCTGATGTTATCCAAATATAATAATTATACTATAGTATATTATAATAAGATACATACAGATTATTCAAATTACACCGTGATGAATTGTTATTATAGATAGTGCATTATTATTATAGAGTTTATTACACGATTAATAATTTATAATTATACATATTTATTTTTTTTATACTGTTTGGTTATTAATTTCTTAGAAAAACAGCTCTGTATTATCTCCTCTATTATCTCAATCTTTTGAGTTACACATTTTTTAGATACCGTCCGGCAATCCTAATAATAAACGCGATGATCAATTTCGAATAGTCCCATAAGTGACATTGTACGCATATAGATTACGCGTCGCTCAACAATTATAAATTATAATACGGGAAAAGAATGTGCTCGCCAGAAGGTGCTCTTTAATTTGTATTTAAATAAACGTGTAGTGCGCAGATTATCGACGGAGTACGTGACAACATTATAAATTATAATATTCTCGATAAGATATTATGTTATAATATATTAAAAAGTTTTAACGTTCGTTTTAATTAATTGATTTCAAATACGCATAATTCGTGTAGTACAATAATATACAATGCAAAACCGGGCGATTTCGGCAATACAAATAAGTTTAACTTAGGTTATAAGTTATAAATCGAAAAAAAAGTTTATGAATAAATAACACGTTAAAAGCAAATTGTTTTATATCAATTAACCCGAAAGTTAATTTGCAAATGTAAATAGCGTATTTAATTAAGGCAAGTTAATTTTAAAACGAGAAATTTGTATTGTATCGTGATAATGATTATTGCAGGTTATAGCTAAATTTCCGGATTTTTTTTGGAAAATAACGACGAACAATGTTTAACACAGTGGGTTTATTCCCGCGAATATAAAACTACAATGTCAATTTAAACTATCCGACACGTTATTGAGTGCAAAAAGAAATTGAAATTTACTCGATTCATTATTTATGAAGTTAATGTAAACAAAATATAAGTTAAGATAGTAAAAATCACAGGTTAAAAGCCCAGTTTACTAACAGTTTACAGTATTATTTTAACTCTTCAACTCGGTAATGCTCACATTGTTCGGCCTTGATAATATCTATATAAAAACGTAACTCTGATAGAATTTTCGAAAAAAAAAAAAAAATTTAATTTAATTTAAATTTAAAAACACATTACACAGATATCGTTGCTTTATCTAATAATATTATTGTAATTTTATCCGTGAAAATAATATTGTTACATTTTCAGTGTAGACGTCGTTATTACTATTATTATTGTAGACACCGAACAGTCCGAACCGTGGTTACTTTTGTACTTCACTATACATACGTGTATAGGCAAGCGCACAAAATCGATAACCGTCAATGCAATGCGGATAAATTGCAATGATGATAATATTTCGATAACACCGCCGACGTGCACTAGAATCACTCTAAAATCAAAAATGTATCGCTTAAAACGATTGTTATTTGTATCTACTTGACAAATATGTTCGTGCGTATTATGATACATATAGGAGTGCGCAGACTTTGTCTGCAAGTTATGAAATTGAAAAAAAAAATAGGGCCTCAAAATATAATAAACTATAATCGAGACCCCTCGTCATACTACCGTAGCCATGGAGGCAGGCTACGGCTAGCTATAGCCCCTTCCCCCCACATGAGCTGTGTAAATGTGTGTATATTATTTTACGTTTCGAGAGTTTCTAGTTATTTCTTTCACGCCATAAAAACGTATTTAAGGTGCAGTAGTATATCAGAAAACTCGACAGATAAGCCACGGCTAAAAAAAAGACACGTTAATGGAAAAAAATACGTTAAGATTTGCCTAGACATTATATAATACCTATATAGTATTATATTCTTATCATTCCGTTATTATAGATTATGTTTAATATCAATTTTTGTTTAGAGTATTATGTTGTTGGTGAACGTATTTTTCTGATTTTTTTTTTTTTTGGGGGGGGGAGGGCATGATTCAAGTAAAAGCGTATTCAACCCCTTCCCCGAATTGAAAATTCCGGCTACACCACCGGACCGTAGCGCTAGGAAAACAGTCAAATCTACGTAAAAAAACCGCATATACATACTTTACATATATTATTATTATATTATTTTAACTGTAATAATAATTAATATAACACAAGCTGTCCCGTCCGGCTTAGCCCGTGCAATAAAAAGTTTCTAAATAAAGTCCAGTGGCGTACTGATAGGGTGGCAATGAGCCACGAGTCCGTGGCATTTGGGCTCCCCGAATCAGAGCCTAAGACATTATTTTGTATACATTATCATGTATGAATAGTTGCATAAAAACAGGCGATGTCATTGTTTTGTTTATTAAATAACACGAATGAACGGACAGATGCATGAAAACAATAATAGGGTCAGTTTTTTTTTTTTTGCTCCGAACTGTGTAAATTGGGCTCAAACTTGAATTGTGCAATCGGCCAGAGGCGGTGCTAGCAATTATTGATGGAGGGGTGTACCTGGACATACGCTTTTTTTGCTTTGATGTTTGTGCTAAATTTTAAAGACATTTTAGATAAAAATTCAGCATAGCATTTTTTTGAATACTACCGTAACACTTTCTGTGCGTTGAGATATTTGCCGCGGGCATTATGAGTTCTCGTTACGCCACTGATAATGTCGATGGATAAATTATCGTTATATGCTAATGCCGTATAGATACCCGCACAGCACAGGAATCGCACTAGAAAAATGAATAACAACGTTTTTTTTTCATTCGTGTTACCGAGATAACCCGCAAATTGACCGAAAATAATTAGATTTTTATGCTAAAAACACCTAAAGACCGAATTTTACCAAACGACTTTCCAAAGTTTTACGGCGATCGGACGAATGGCTTAATAACGCATCAATGACAAACAGGCATAAACATAAAAGAATAATATATGCATATAATATTATCTATAAAAAAAAAAAAAAAACAAAATACCCAAACATATTATGGCAAAACGAATGGGAATTAAAAGAAATTAAAAACCATAGTATCCTACTCTGGCCCGATAACACATTCACTAGAAAAGACGAAGTGTTCGTAAACCGTCTCAAAATAGGTCATATACCAGATTAACTCATGACTACCCAATGAAGAAAAAAGATCCTCCCGATATGCCCGACTTGTAATTTTCTTCTGACGACCAAACGCGTTTTAACCGAATGTAGGAAGTACGAATTACAATGCCAGGAATACAATTCAACTCGCCGTTTATCTGAAATTCTTATCTCCGGCATCACTAATACACTCAAATTCCTATAGGATACCGAACTGTAATTTATACAAAACCCTAGAACTGCAGTATTTATATGTCTATTAATGTTTATGTAATTTTTTTTCCGCTCTTCTCCGTCCCTCCCCTTAGTTACGATAATAGTTAAGCTAGGTTAGGTACACAGCTTTATATTGTAAGCATATTTAAACGCTTGTATGATTTTTAAGTGGCGTTCGTTTTAAATCGCTGTTTTATATATTTATTTTTTTTTTTGTGAAAATCCGGATTTCCGTTACTACTATAAACACACACACGGTTGGACGACGGCTGTAAAACAATATGGGCGCTCGTGCGTTTCTTGAAATTCGGGGCCGTTCCCGAATCCGGCGGACGCCCAAAGGTCAACTAACATAACAATAACGTACGGTTTACCATCGAAAAAGAAAAAAAAAACAACAAATTATCAACCGCAATAATACGATAATTTTCTTTTTAATAATACGTTTGAAAACATTTCATTACGAGAATACCGGACAGGTACCGCCGACGCGACGACCGGCGGCCGGTTTACGTGTGGCGTTCGTATTGGAGTAACCGCGCGCGCGCACACGCACCGAAACGCTATTTTCCCGCTAGCCGGCCCAGACGGAAGAGCAACAATTCTAACGAGGTTTTGGTTTTTTTTTTTTCTTTCTCTCATCCGCGGGGTTTCGTTAGAATATGTGTACACCATTATTATTGTTTATCGGCGAACGTAGATGATTGGGGCCATCTCCGTTATAACCGCCGTACCGCACAATGTTGTTGTTATTCGTAATCTGATCGTTCCTTAACCTGTTAACGAGATTAGATTTGACGTGCGCGCCCAATCGGCCGGCATTTGTTTTTATTACGGGCACCGTTTCATTTCAACGCCGGCAATACCGGACCGCCGAATACCGGCCCCGCGCGCGCGTACGGGTCGAAAAATAATACGGAAAGAGTTCCTGGGAAAAAAAAAAACAAAAAAAAACTTTCCGCGTCGCCAGTGTTAAGTTCGGCGGAAATAGAATTCGTCGGGTTTCGATCGTTTACATTTTTTTTCTCTTTCCGTCCGACCTTTCCGCGACGGACGGGACCCGCCGACGCGAATCGCGCGCGCGGCAACTCTACTCGCACCGGCGCCGGAAAAGAAAATCGACCGACCGTACGTCCGTTCGTTTCTCGTCCACAGGTACGCAATATTATCGTAATATCATTAATGTTATTTTATAGCCGCGGCGTATAGTCTAAAGTCGTGCGTGGAGTCGTGGGAGTGGGGTTCGATTCGTTAACGCGGCTTTCGGGCTGGGGCGGGGGTAGCGGTGGGTGGGGGAGGGCGGTCGGTGGAAAATTTGCGAGACGCTTTTTTACCGCGGAAACGACAACGATAACAAATAATCGTTAATAATCGTGTCCGCGATTCTGGATGACGTTTTTCGGTGCAAATTTCGCCCGCTTTATTACCCGGGACCGAAATGTCGGCGTTTAGGTCGAAATCGGAATTCAAACACGAATAACGAAATTCATGGAGGAGAATGTTTTCGACGGCTGTACGTAGCGTTTTTCTAACGAATTCGCGATGGGAATAAAACCGTACAGGTCACGCGAGTATTCGGATTTTTTCAATTATTTACGTTTTGTAAATTCGCCATTCGATTCCGATTTCGGTCCGAACGCCACGTATCGTTATGTTCTAAGTGACGTCATTTTGCTACGTCGCGCGTTAGTTTGGCGGAGACAACACGCGCGCGGGCATGTCTAACGAGAAAAAAAAATCGCCCAAGTCCCACATATTCGTAATTTTGGTATTCGTTCAGTACGCTATCTACCGTAATTTCACGGCGGCTCATTAACATTACGATATCTACAGATAAAAACTGTCTCACCTTTATATCGCGGTATTTCTACTTTGGCAATTAATTCTCGTTTCCTATACTGTTTTTTAAGAGCTTCATTCAGTTCTCCACGGCGAATTGTTTGGTTTTTTTTTTTTTTTGAAAAAACGTTCGTACATTCTTCGATTTGATTGATATGTGGACACAAACAACTACTCACGGCTGATTCGCTTACGGCGTAAAAAGCCTAATCCTTAAATTCGAAACGATCAAATCTCTGTGGACGCAATACGATTTGACAGCAGCCTAATATTAATTCCAAAAACGATAAGGTTTATACGGGCGGTTATACACACGCAGTACAGACACAGCGTGCTGAACGGGTACCGTAATTTTTTTCTTTGCGATAATTACGGCCGCGATTTACAACGCCGTGTGTCATCGTGCACCCGGTCACGGCGCACGTCAACACAGCGTTCGTTGGTCGGTCGACTTTCATCGGCCGGCCGCGGTCGACGCACGACGCGATTCTACACGTTGTTGTCGCGTTTTGACCGTTTTGCGTGATTCGCGTTTCATTCGCATGACGGCGAAACGCGGACTTCGGTAAACGCGGTTCGGTTTCGTCGGGCAACCGCCGGCTTTTCCGCCGTGCGGCGTTTGGGTTTCCGGCGCTGCAGCCGTGTTTGAAACGTTTCAGAGGCCGCCGTCGGACCCGCGCCGCGGCGAATTCGCGCGCGTAACACTGTCGCCACCGGAGAGACGCCGTGGTTCCGGCGCGGCAACAAACGGCGCGGTCCGTTTGCACAACGCGCCCGGTATTATTGTACCGGCTGCGGTTGCGATTGCGCGTTTAAACCGTTGATGGCCGCCGTGCGCGCGTCAACGTCCCAATCTGCCGCGCAGATAAGGTGGTCCGATAAGGCGGGGAGATTCAGACAATAACCACGCGCACAGCCTACGTAATTATCGATTGCCGATCGACCGTTATGTAATATCATCGTCAGCGGCTGTGCGAGCGCGCCGTCCGCGATAATCTAATTACGTTGCAACGTCATCGACGGACAAACACATACGAATTTAGTCGCCCGAGTAAACCGCGGAAAACCCTTATAAAAGGATTGACGAGGATCGCCCGTGCGTTTTTGTCGTCCCGGCAGACGGCGCGTTTTTTTGTTCGGGTGTCGCCCAACGGGGACCGGCCGATCGGACGGTTTTAACGGACGCCGAAAAAAAAAAAAAAACCGTCGCGATATTTCCCGTTTCGTGAATTCCGAAACTGTTAGCCCCAGCCGCGGTCTGGTAACCAACCGATAATTTATAGGCAGGCGCGCCGGTGGTCGCCGAAACAGCCGCCGCCGCCGCCGGGGGTTGTACACGGGGAACGTGTTCGTTTTTTTTTTTTTCCTCGGCCAAAAACGTTTATTATGTTGTTTTACGCTGACGCATTAATATCAGATGGTATTCTACCGTTATAATTCCGATCCGATCGTATCGATACCAGTCCTGCCGCGTTTGTCAATACTGACGGGCGGCGGGCGCGCCGTTCCCGCATTTCATCGCGTCTGGCCGTATTATCGTGTACACGGGGGCGTTAGTTTCGACGCGAACCGGCGAAATTCGATTTTCGGTTGTTTTTTTTTCCGTTCGACGGGACTACCGTCTATCGTTTTTACCGATCATATTTGCAATAATATTTCAACGGCGTTTCCCGGGAATTATCGACGAGGAGGGGATGGTGTAGCAAATAATAATCACGAATTATTCAAAAATTCGTCTTCCCTACACAAATTGACCACGGGAATTGGTAATTTAAAAGCCGGGTCCTAAAAAAAGCCCAATTTCTAATCCATATGTCAAGGTTTTCTTCGTAACTCGACTGAAATATATACATTAACCTAACCTATTCGCGGATTCGACTCGGAACCTGCAACAGCAGCAGCAATATACCTATATTTACGTACAATAACAAAACCGTATACGATTACGAAATCCTCTTTTTTGCTGTCGCGTTTGTCTCGTTATATCCACAAAACTGACCATTGTCATACTATAATATGTACTTACGAGTTTACACACGCGCACACACACGAGCTTTATCAATATTGTAGTTTTTTTTTGTCACTCATGAATACATAATACACACACACACACACACACATACACACCTAGATAAGACTACACCATACAGGTACAACTATTTTAAATTGTGTGCCCGCAAACTGTTTAATTATTATTCTCCCGCGAACAATGCCCACACACCGAATTATACCTAAACCTTATCAGTTGCCGCGGTGAGACCCATACGCGCGCGCGAGAATAAAAAAAAAAAAAAAGCGGTCTTATCAGGCTACCGACATTTATTTAATTGTCCGGACCTGTTCGCCGGCATATTTCGCGCTGCTCTTATCTGGTCGATTACCTTGTCACCATGACGTAACACCGTTAAAAAAACTCTTATCTCGCCACACATACACACACATACACACACGTATCATACACAACATACATCGTACATACACAACTCGTATCGCGCGGTCTATGCTGCGCGTGTCGCGTGGTAGTACACGGTTTTTATGTTAAAACCGTTATTGTTTTTTCGTCTTTTTTTTTTTTTTTGCCCAAGAGCTAGTTGTGCCTAGGCAGGTACGCGCATCCTATTATTCTACGCGGTATACTCGCCTATACGTTTATTTCAATAGTATTTTTTTTCGAGGGGGAGGGGGGAAATAACAATAATACACCGATTAGCGCCCACGAATCAATGCATACGACACACGCACAACGACTACGGACGAAACCTTTGGCCGTACGTGACGCATTATTTGCGTGACACAGTTTACTTACGCGAGAACGTATCGTAATTGAAGTATCACACACGATAATCGTAAATACCCGTCGTTCGACCTTTGAACGGTCGTCCGATAAACTGCCGCGGCCGTCGCCCGTTTTGCCCGTCCGACGCGAATTTTCGTCCCGTTTTTGCCCCGTCTGACCATCCCGACAACCGCCCCTCGACTGCCTCCCCTCCAGTTTGTCCCCCCCCGTCCGTCTGTCCGTCCGACAAGTTGACGTGCGTCGTGCCGATCGCCCTGCAACAGGCGCGCGCGTGAATACTTTTTGTTATAGCGTCCGCGTGTGCTGTCATACCGTTTTTGCTTCGCCGGGACCGCGCGATTCCGTAAATCCGACCGTCCGGCCGAAACGGTACCCTGTTGATGACCGCGATTCGACACACAGTGTTTTCAAAAAATTTACCATTGTTTTGTCGCGTGTATTACAGCGCAGGTGACGGACCATCCGCCGCGGCCGCGCACGCATCGCAACACGAGCCCGTGACCGGGCGATGAAGTCATGTTCCAATGTTCGACGACGAACACGTCCGGCGCCGTCTGCAGTGACACGCGTAAGTATACGAAAAATCATCGTAACGGCTCGCTAACGGCGTACCTGAGGGATTGTAATCCGCCGCCCATCCCCCTCCCCTCTCAAAATCGATTCGACCGTCTTTCGTAATGTCGATTCGTAACGCATTGCATCATACAATAGTTATTTCATAATTTACGGGTACACTGACGCGGGTATAATGACGCGCAGTCGATAATTTAATTGAAACGGTCATATTATAATAATCGAGGGGGGAAAAAAAAAAACAGTGGAAAAAACGAACACACTTCGCACAACGGGCGGGTCACTGTTGTAGGTGAGAAGTTGGGATGACAGAGGAGGAAACTTAATGTATATCGGTTCGCGACGATTTATCGTGGCTAACGGAAAACGATTCTGAGCGGAGTTCGGTTATACACATTTTGAAAGACCGTAATATTTACGATTTGAAAATAATACATTTAGCAAATTTTCCCGTTTTTCCTACGTTTTTTCCGTTTATTATGAAAACTCTTGTAGAGAAAATCAGAATATGGCCCGTTTAAAGTACCGGCCTAGTCAGATTTCCTTTTGTGAAACATGTTACACATGAAAATCAGAGCATAATTTCTGGTAGAAAAGTTGTTCACAGAAAACGAAAAACCATCATTGTAAAACCAATACATTCTTCGCTCTGCTCAGAACCTAAACCGTAGCTATAGGAAAAAAACCGGACAAATTTATGGCGATACGAGTTGCGTTATTTTAGATTTTGTGTTTTTACCGGAAATTTGGCTCCGAAATTCAAGTGTAGCGTATTTTTCTAAAATAATATGTTTTGTATAATAGTCATTTATATCGGGTTTTTTTTTTATATATTCGGTTACAAATAATCGTAGAAATCTGAATTTAGACATTTTCAAGCTTTTTTTTCTTTTCATTTGGTTTTATGTGGATAAAATTATTTTGGCCATTGTACACTGGTGGCCATCTGTAAACATACAATTTATTTACATCATAGTTACTATAGTCATTTAAAATCACATTGATAATGCAAACCCATCGATATATTAGTATGTATGTCTATGGCAAAATCTTAGTTGAAGATTACCAACATGTGTTATAAACGATTCTTAACATACAAAAATTATTTAAACTCACTACACTAAATGTGTATAATTTCTAACGTCTTTCTGTAAGTGAAAGAAAAAAAAAGCGTGTAATGGTTTTCAGTAACAAATTCCAATTATTGATGTGCCAATATGCTGTACAAATAATATTGAATGACTTTAATAAACCGGTAGAGAGCGCCGCATCCAGTAGCGTACACAATAGCAAAACTTCTAGAACGCGATATCGATAGTTGTTACCAATCCTTTATACCATAGTGTTTCCTAAAATGGATGGAACCACAGCGTGTACCGTCCGTGTAATTCGCCGTATTGATATCTACGGCTCACATCTGTTTACGGCACACGCGTGAGCTTTTCTTTTTGGGACGTCATCGACGGCGGAGCGGCCAACCGAGCGTATGCGCAGTAAAAGCATGTGCTATTATTTTCAAGTGTGATCGGAGAGAAATCCAGTTACCGATAAGGTTAAAAATTCATAATGGTTACCGAACGATGGTAATCAATAATCAAAATTTGATCATCGATATTTTTAAATAATTAATGATAACAACATTTGTATGATTTATCATTATCAACAAATACCCGTGCTAGCCCTATAGTTTAAAAGCTACTAACTACCGCGGTATATGCACACACACGAGTTTCCTGCTATTTTTTAAAATAAAAACGACGATGGAAATATTTTCGAAAACTGCGAGTTCTGCTGTCAACATCAAATCACGCTACCTAAACTAGGTATAGTCATGTTTTTTGAAAAAAAAAAAAAAAATGATACGAAACAAACGGTCACAAAACGTTAATTTGAGTTATTATAAAAAGTTGAAAAACCCCATATTTAAAAACGCGTACTATAATTTCCATAGTAGAATTGCACAATAGAAAAGGACGGACATACTCCGCACCACGGGTGGGCCACTTTTGTAGGTGAAAAGTTGGACAGGTAGGATATAGAAGGGAATTTAATTTATGTTTGTACACAACGTTTAATCATTGCTAACGAAAAACGATTCTCGATCAATAGTATTGCTTTTTCAACGATGTGCGTTTCACGATAATAACGATTGTTTATACTATAAATGATTAAAAAATTATAATAATAAATAAAACGGTTGCCAATGACTACCTTATTTTTAATCTTTTTTAACTTAAGAACCAGCTTTTCTTCATTATCTCGAATATTAATATACATTTTTTACACACACACACATATATAAATATGTATGTAAAAATAAACATCATTGTAAAACGAATACATTCCTCACACCGATCAGAATCTAAAATATAGAACAATTATGTAAAATTTATAAAATGTATTAAAATTAACATTTTTTGTTTCTTTAAACAATTTAAATCTTCAGGAGCTATTTTGCATCTTGTTTGATTCAATTTACAAAATGATTATAAGTGATTTAGTCGGATCTCTATGAACTTCTTTGTCTTTTTAAGTCACATAGAAATTAAATTTTAAATTTTAGTCCATAATATTTTCGTTCGATCCTTTTGATATTTTGACGGGGCACCTAATTTTACAACTCAATGCCATTATGTCGAAATTTGGTGAGTAATGGTGATGCAATTGACCACTATAAAACAAAAGTTCAAACTTTAAAAGGCATCAAAGGCTGTACTACTAAGTAGTATAATAGCACGTATTCGGATGCAGTGGTATTGTACAAAATAGGGAAGAAAAACAAATCATTCCGAATTTTCCACCCACGACGTCCTGTCTGATGAGTTTTTCTAGTTAACACCACGTATAGGGTCAAAAAAAAATAACAACCGCTGATTATACGTACATATAACACACCTTGAACTTTGACGTATGTTGCACACTTTGGGCATCGTTTAAAATATTATCATAATCAAATATGTGTGAATGATGTGAATTATCGATAACAACAAATACATTTTATAGATGATAATAAATTTTAATTTTAAAAAGTTTAATAGTGCTGGTGGATGCACCGCTGTTTTGGGCAAAGGTTAAGGGACTTTAAAAAAAACCCATTGCTAATGAAAAACGGTTCTGCGTGGTTTTGCATGCTCACGGGCAGAGAACTATTAGTCTTATTTTCCCCTTGTTGCCAAGGTAACCCAGTAATCGTATTTCTAAAAATGCCAGTTAACACACACTCGCCCGTCGACGATTTTCGTACTTACCTTATTATTATAATGGTAATATAATATTATCATAAACACTACTGTTATCACTTTTTTTTTTCTATTCATATACACACAATATAATCGTAGTTATAATATTATTATAATTGACGTATATACACAATATACATATTATATTATTATTATTATTATTATTATCGCTGTGATATGCGTTTCGAATGTTTGAAAAAATATATCTCAGATCGTGACAATTATTATTTTAGTCACTCCGCGCGATTACGAACGATTATCACTAATTTATCAGTGACTGCCCGCTCGTAGCCTTGTTGCCGTGACGTTTATTGCAATTTCGAACGGCGCGTAGAAAACTACTGTCTAGTTTAAAATTTTTTTTTTTCCGTTTTTATTTGTAACAATTTTTTTTTTCATACCTCTTCCCGTCTCGCGTCGACGGTGTAACATTGTGATGTGTATTTTTATTTTTAACTGCAGTTCGGCAATAATTTTATAAATATTTGGAATACCTATACGTTTCTTTTTGAAAATTTAGATTTCATATGCGCAACAGGTAAGACGATTATCGTTAAAAATTTTACGGTTTTACACAACCGTATTGTATTTTTTTTTATAAAGTTGCAGTGTGTGTATTTTTTTTTTTCGATCGTTAAAAAATTTTCCGGTTAGTAAAAACACGTTTCCATATTACCGTACACCTTAAATATACCGATTTTTCGCCCCGCAGTATTTTCTTTGGAAAATAATTATGAATTCAAAATAGGTTTTTTTTTTTTTTTTCAAATGAATTGCATAAATTAACAACCAACGGCGGTGCGTCGATTTTATTTTTGTTGTTCCTGGGTTACCGACGGTTCACCGAGCTCCTTGTAGAATCGTTTTTTGAACGCAATTGTTTATAAATAATTACCGTCTATACTTTCTCAAATTTTCATCTACAACCATGGCCCACCCAATATGCCTGTTTGTCAAACCAAAAGTAGATCATAGTGACTTAGGACATTATTTTGATTTTCGGTATAACATGTCCTAGAGTACACTAATACCAATTTAGACCAAAAATCAAAGGGGAAAAAAATCACACAATACAACACTATAGGGGGGGAAAAAAAATGCTAATATTGCCTTGAGCTCTTTTGTTCGCCGGGACCAAAGAATTTGTACAAACGTATTTTTTTAAATTGATTATACAAACACGAGCTGCTATGTATATATAGATAGGTATTGCATATGGCATGTGCTAATAAACAATCGGACATTATAATAATATGTCATATGACGTGCCATGTAGAATGTTTTTGAGATTATTTTGTTATTTCAGTATTCGGTGTACATAATTGTGTATATTATACTGCTGGTGTACAATCTGAAACATAATCTTTTCGTTTATCAAACGTTCGGTTTTTAAGGAACCGACGCACTATATTTGTCTGTAATTGCATAATGACTACAGAGAACGGATTTGTATGCGAATGCAAATATTTTTCAGACCAATAAGCCGTTTTAAATCTCAAATGCATGTATGTAAAAAATGAATTTGTTTTTAATTAGCGGATATTTTTGTTTTTAGTCTATTTTTCATTTGTCAATGTTCAGACGCATAGTCCCGACCCGCAGTGAATCGGTTAAATAGCCCGTGCGCCACGTGCACTCTTGTCGATTTTTCGAGTCTTCTTAACGGGCCAAAATCGCATCGATCGAAAATTTTAATCGAGTACAATTAATGTCTAACGAATTAAATACGTTTCGATTATACGAAATTTCGAGTGTATATTTAACAAAAAAAAGTAAATGCTGCGCGTAACGTTGCGTTGTATTTTTTGTAGTATTTTTAAAAGCGTATTTTGAGGGTTTTTCGCGCACACAATATGTAAATCCGTTCCCAGCCTGCCGTACAATATTTAATAAGCCGTTTTGCAATACATTTATAATCTAAAATTTCAAATCGCATTAGCATCTATTTCCAAACACAAATGATAAATTCGATAAATTCGTATATTATTAAAAATAATTTTTGAAAGCAAATAGATAATAAAATGGATTTTAATTATTATAAATATTCAGCTCGCGTAATAATATTGTATATATTTAATATTTTAGTATACAATGGGAATATATTTATTTAAGAATTCGTGTGTTGCAGAGTTTGTTAAACGTTAAACGATAAACGATAAACGAATTATAAATTTAGAAATTATATTAATTATCTTTATAGGTTGTTAAGATGATAATTTATTATGTCGGCTTAATAACACCCATTGAGTTCAATTTTTTAGTATTGAAAAAAAAAAATCGATCGATAAATAAATAAATTGTTACTAACGATCTGACCAATAATAATATTTGTCCGCGTATCATAATATTATAATATTTTGAATAATCTATTTCGGAAAAAAAACAAAACGATATTTAATCGTTTTCTATTTTAGTCGTGTGTCTTTCGATATGATGTGAGTTTGTCGAATCACAATAATATTATGATGACGATGATGACGTATACACAAAGTCTGTGTACCTGTGCATAAAATATTGCTGTGTAGATCGAATTTATCAGGGGCGCAAGTTTCACCAGGAAAAGTCATATAATTCGTTTGGGCGTCTTATTAAGTTATTAATTAATTCGAATTTTAAAACCGTCGCGAAGGTCTGCTGTGCACCTAATAACTATAATATAGCGTGTCAACAATAATAACTCACGATCAGATTACCCAACCCGCTATCTCTTCGAATTCCATTATATACGATTGCGTTATGAGAAATTGAATACGCGTATTAAATTCGTTTAGAACAACATCAAAGGTCATAATAAAAAAAAAGTAGCAAACCGTCTGACATATTTTGCACTACGGGTGGGCCACTTTTGTGGGTGAGAGGTTGCGAAGGTAAGATTTAGAGGGTAATTTAATGTACACAACGATTGGTAACGAAAAACGATTTTGAGCAGAGTTCCGTCAATAGTATTGCTTTTTTAACAATGTGCGTTTTCACGGCAACAATAGTTGTTTAAAAAAGATTAAAATAAATAAAAACGGTTGTCGATGACGGCCTTTATGATAACGTACCGAGGCTGGGCAAGTCAATGATATATTTTAACTTGGATAATTTTTTTTTTTCAATCAAATTTAAAATAAAGGTAAAATATACCATTAAATTCATTAGAGGTATTAAAAATTTAAATACTTAATGAATGTAAGTGCAAACATGAAATATTACCTATAGATTCGTACCATTTATGGAACTATAATCATAATTCATACTCAGGGATCGCTTAAATTTAAATTTGAGAGTAAAAGTGGTTACTGTATTATTTAAAAAAATAAATAACTTAAACAAAGAAATACAAAAACTGCCTATTCGTTAAATGTTAACAACAGATCTTAAGTAATACTTAAGTAAGTATTATGAATATAATTCGCGGGCTCGTGGCTATTAATGTCTTTATTATTGTGATAAATTAGTTTTATCTATAAATATAAAAATTCTCCGTAAATACTGGTATATTATCTTCTTTTTTTTTTCTTTCTAATAATATTTGATGATTTTTCACATCTAGTTACTCTTAAATCTATGAACTTATAATGTTTTAAACGGAAAACGGTAATAAAAAAAATATTTTTCTATATAATAAGAAAATTCATAACTTACTTAATTGGGACTAATACAATCAATTTAAGTCGATTTTAAGTAGACGTAGTAGTAGGCGAACGAGTTAAGTTTATTCAAATATCAAATCAGTGAGTTAATAAGTTGAAATTAAATTAACTTTTAACTTTTGAATTCGTTAATTCCCAGTCTTGTAACGCCATTCTGGTCCATTCTTCCCGGCGGCGTTGCCCGTCCTAAAAGAAAATATTCTATCCAACATTACGAATTAAGGGGAGTTAACCGTTTCTGTCAAAAATGTACCTTTCCCTTTCCACCAAATGAAAAAAATTAGTCTAATATTTGAATATTAATGGACAATTGTATCATAGCTTATTATTATTTTCTTTAATGGAACAAATTTATAATAATAACACGAATAAGTTCTAACTTATACAATAATAAAAAAAAGTGATTATATTTCTGATATTTTTTATATAAAATATTGTAGTAAGACAATCGTTATTAACAACTACTTTTACCTTGCATTCAATAAATAATAAATACAATTTTTATCACGCATAAATAGAAAAATATTTATGATTTTTAATTTGTTTTTTTTGTCTAATTAATAATTGTACACAATCTTCCATTAATATTCAAATATTAGACTAATATTTTACATTTGGCGGAAAAAGGAAAGGTACGTTTTTGGTGGAAACCAACCATGTCCCGAACTAAGTAACCAGTTCTTATAGTAACTGGTGTTCGTTGTACGCATCCTCGCATAAACCGTTACGGTCCTTACACGGTCTACCTGAAGATTATTAATTTGTTTTACATTTTTTTTTTCGTCCGTATCACCTTGTATACAACTCATAAATCGACGAAAATAATTCGATTTCCGTACCGTAAATACCAATAACTCTGTGTCAGCCCCTCCCGTCCACTTTTAGGGATTAAACTCGGGGGGGGGGGAGAAGTAGCTTATCGATAGTTCCTGGTCTAGAACTACGTCTGCGCCGAGTTTAGGTTCGGGGGTTTTTGCGCGGAACGGTAACAGACGGTGTCCATCCCAACAATAATACATTATTATCATAAATAAAATTTACATTGATGCAATACCGATTCGTTCCGCGACGTGTTATTTCGTACGCGTTATTCATTCCCGTTAAAATTATGGTTACAGCAGAAATCGGTTACCGGCATTACCACCACGACCGAATAGTGTACGTACCACCGGCCAAGCCGAACATGTTCGGTCTCGCGGCGCACCACCAGTACGGCGGCGGCCCTCCACCGGCACCGCCGCCACAGCCGCCGACGACCTCCGACCCGACGGTCACGGGCACCGGCGCTGCGGCGCACACGTGGCAAAATTCACCGGCGCCGGCCCATCACCACAACCGGAGTCACCACGTGGCGGTGACCGCCGCGGTCGCAGCAGCCGCGGCCGCGGCCTCCGGTCCGCCGACCAACAGCAACATTAACGGCGGCAGTGGTACCCCGGGCGGCGGACACCAGAGCGGTCCGAACGCCACGACCCCGTCGTCACCGTCGTCGGCCACGCCGCCGTACTACCAGAGCGCGGCGGCCATGATGTGGTCCAACCCGGTGTTCCAGAGCCATCAATACGGTACGTCGATTTTTATTATTTCGTATGTTTCTAAATCAATCTGCTGATCCGGCGGATCGCTAAACAGATTTGCATAGAGCTTAGCAAAGATTTTTTTTTGTTATTAAGTTTCAACGCGTGGGAATACGGACAAATATTAGAATGCGACGTTTTCCATCATGGGCCATAATCGCACAAATTTATTATTCTTATTATTTTTCATTATTTCGGACGTACGAATTATGAAGTACGAGTATCTTAAACACTTCGCGCGTTTTATACGGTTTCTCTCTCTCTTTTTTTTTTTTTTTTGTAATATGGGTAGTTTAAATAAAAAAATAATGTATTATTTAATTTTAATTTCGGCGCGTAAAGTGTTTATCACATCGATCCGAGTAAATACTCTTCAATCCGCAAAATATCGGATAATCAGTCCGCGGTGTGGCGCACCCCCCCTCCCCCAGCAGTGACAAAAGTGAACAAGTTTTTCGTTCAAAGACAATGAAATTTCCCTAACGAAAAATTTGTCTAGGAATGGATTTTCGCATCGACTTTTTCCATAGTATTTCAATACCGGCAAACGTCACTTGTTCGACAAATGATCAGAACCGTTTTCGGAAACTCCACATATTAACACACTGCACACAGAGCGCACGAAATAAAATATTATATTAGTACGTGGTTTTGCATAATAAATCAGGAATTTTCGATCAATTTCCTCCATTCGCTTCCTCTAAAGTCTAAAGGCTTCAGACGAAGACATATTACAATAAAATCTAGTAGTATTCAGTATTCATATATTACACATTTAAAATATATAGATACAGGGATCACGCTTTCGGTCTGTTATTATCTGTGTTTTTTTTTTAATGTGTTTAAAACATTTTAACGATGTTTTTTTTGTTTGAAATTATGTTTTATCCGTTTTAAATGGTTTTTTAACATTATTTAAACATCTTTTATTATTAAAAATGTTTTTTTACGTTTACATGGAACATACATTTCGTTTAAACTATAAACAGCTTTTTTTAATGATCCCTTTTTTACTTCAGGACAGTTTATAATAACACAGTTAAAATAATGTTCGTTAGTTTTAACTATAAATTTTAATATACAAAGTACTAAAACTAAAAAAAAAAAAACAAAGTTTAAAGCATGTTACTATAAATTGTAAATATTTTAATTCCGTATAAAGAATACTGAATGATAATTAACCATGAATTAAAATAATATTATACTGAAATTTAAACTGAAAATGAATATTTATCAGTTTAACATTTTTTTAACTTTTAATCTCTGACGAAACATTTACAAGTTACATAAGATAAAATGATTTGTTTTTTTTTTTTTTTTGGCTTAAATAAAACGTTTTGAATGTTTATGCATTAAACGTTTAAAATAAACCCACTTATTTAAAACGTTTTAAAAACACTTTGAAACCCTGCTTTAATCTAACATCACTGCTCCAGAGTATTAACTGAATATGACGGTACTCATCACATTAATACATATATTTAAGGGGCGGTGAATAGGCAATTTAAACGAAATTCTTTTGAAAAGAAAAACGGAAATCGGCTAATTATAAATTATTCAAATACTCTCATTATTATATTATTCAAATTCACTGTATAACATCGTTTTGAAATCGGTGTCATCGACAAAACAAACAGCGATTAGCATTCGATCGGTTTTACCCGTTTATCAGTGTTTATTAACTCAACAGTTTTTGTATGTGTACTTTGGTATTTTTTCAACGGTCTAGAAAACAGATCGATACGTTATTGTTGTAACGTTATCGTGTTGCGGGCCACAAAACCGTAAGTTATAACGCTTTGGCTTTTTTTTTTTTACTATTAATTAATTTACTCGGTCATAACAAAATAAAAACGACTCTATAAGCAATAATTACGGCCGTTGCGACATTTCGTTTCCCAAAATGGGCCGTAATTAACGAAATTACGGCGAACTTACTCGGTTCTCATAAAGATCGTAATATTATATTTATGTAACGCACAAATCGTCCGGACCGGTGTTTTTCTAACTTCGTGAATTCGTTTTTAAAATATAGATCGTCGCGTTCGATGATAATAATAATATAATTGCCGATAACATTAACATAACCAAATAACTCGACAGTTTGTCATCGACGAACGCCGCAATATTGTGCCTCGTCGCAACCGTACAATATCGATTTCCCACCGCCGCTGTTTAAATATCGTATGCTAATAGCAATTTTCTACAATATTATTTACGTTCAGATAATGTATTCAAATTCGTTAGTTGTTCGTTAATATAAGCGGGGTACGTCGTATATTATTACGCGGACGCGAAAACGCTTAACGCTAAATACCGGCGTCGACCCGGCGCATCAAAGGCTCCTGGAGTTTTTTTTTTTTTTTTTTTTTTTTATAAAGGGCTCCGCGGACGGACGTAATAGCCACGGAAATCAGCGCGATATCGGGTCGGAAATCGATAATATTTTCTGAAAATAACGACAGATTTCACGGTAACGAGGCTAGCTTAGGTTTGGTTAGGTTGGGTTATTATGTTAGCCTAAGCGGTTTTCTGCGACATTTAAATTTTCGGTAATTTGTGTAGACATTTACTCAACGCACTATCTTCTGTACTAAAAAATATATTTTATTTATATATTTGTAACTGACAAGCTCGAAGACTACTTAACCGATTTCAAAATTACTTAGACCTATAAAAAGTTACGTTATTAGCGAGTAACACGGATTGTATTTTATTTTCGAAAAAATTGAAGATCCCTACGAAAAGTGCTATAACTAGGTTTTTAGGTGTTTTCGGTACGATTATCTAATTGTTTATTTTTTTTTTTTTTGTTTATTCACGTGTTACCTCGTTGACATGAATGATAATTTGGTTTTCACGGACAAGAAAACTATTATTACTATTATTATTATTTTCACTATTATCTAGCAAAAGCAAATCATTGCCGGGTCACCTAGTTAATCAAAAATTAATAATGTTTGTTTTATATTTTTTACTGTAGTCTGCAATAGTAAACTAAAATAATAATATATTTAATGTTTATATTTAAAATTTCCGAACAAAAGGGACAGCCAGCAGGTATAGTTCAATGGCGAAATTTTATAAATCTCGGGGCCTGAAAGGTTTCCAGACATCAACACGACTTGGGAGCAATGATCTAGCTATTATTCAGGCATAGAATGTAGAGGAGCTTAGGGGTTTATAGTTCCTGAAATTTCCTCTGACCCTTCTCAACATTTCTTACAGTTTCCCTGAAAATGAGCACGCAGTAAAAGATTTTAAAGTCACCCTTTTTTTTTGTAAAAATGTACAGAATAAGTTTAGTTTAGCCCCCCTTTCGAATCCTACGCCAATGCGGTCACTGCTACACACTCACGAGTAATCCGTATAATATGAGTATCTTACACATTTTATTAAAATCGGTTTTAACGTAGCAATGTGAACGATTGTATAATATAATATAAATAATAAATAATATCTAGGAATGGGTAGTTCGTGAAGGAGCTGACCGTGGTTGACAGTGGTTGTTACCACCGGTTTAATACAATTCACAAATCACGAATATGTGTTATCACTTATCAGTTCCTGAATTATTGGTGCTATACTCATTTAGTTTTAACTGATGAGTACTTAAATTATTCATAAATCTGGTAACTCGTCTGAACCGTAATGTAAACACTATTAAATTGTATCGTTATGCAATGACAAATCATGTTATAGAAGTCTGACGTAATTTATGACAATTATTCGTGATATACTTTAATAAACTAAAATGTAATGAACTGAGAACTTGAGATTTGACTCATTGAGTTAACTTATTAGAGTGAACTGTTTCGTGGCATTCAGTTGAAAATCCCATCCCTAAATTAGTACCATAGTGGGTACGTTCTGCAAGAAACGTTCGGTTTCGCTCAGAATGACTGCAGCACTGTTCTATTATGCAACACGTGAAATAGTTTGGGAACCCCAATAAATAATAATGTTATAATGATCGCGTATCACGGGAAAACTGTAATAATAATACCGTGATAAAATTACAATAATATGTAACGACCGAGGATAACAATATTATTAAAATAATATTATAATCGCTGGACTGCAGTCGCTGCCACAGCGGTCGTATCCATAAAACTAATCGCTAAATTGAATAATTAAATGATTCGTTAATTATTGTTGCGTTGTATCGAATCGTGAATATCAAATCCCTCATTCTCCCCTCCTTTAAACGCAACGAATTTTAAACTTCTAGACTTTCTGTACAATGTATATTATATATAGTTAACGGAGGGCCATTTAATAATATTACGTCGGACCGATGAGAGAATAATGGACGGAGAAGCGCTAGAACAGACACGAATCGGGAAAAAGAACTCTGCGGTAAAGTTTGATAGGAAGACGAAATCATCGACTCGACTAATATTTAAACGTGCACGGCCTGTGTCGGCCCGATAGTGGCCGCTAAGTCGCGAATGCAGTCGAGACCCCCGGTCGTGTCGTGTCTGTGGACTCCTCGGGTCCCGAAATTGATAAAATATCACCGTTTAATTGCTTCTACTGTCTTTTGCGTTTCAGATTGAATGTGCTTAATATTGTTTAGACTTTATTGCAGACTGCAGTTAAATAATAAAGTCTATTAATTCAATATTAAAAATTGTGCTGACGCACATTTTATATAAAAATTACTGACAACTAAAATATAATTTACAATAGGTTTTGTCAGTGTAGCATAATATTATATAAATAATAGCTACCTAGCTATAAATACCCACGTCACCGCGAAGTCCGTTTTTCAGCAATATTATTGACTGATGACATTAATTATTCCCATGAATCGTGCCGATATTCATTCATCATTGCCTTAGGTCGACACTGTGAAAATAATGTTGAAAACACCTATAGGCTGGAATATATACAATCATAGATTATGAATTAGATGATTCGATGATAAAAACTACTGAAAGGGAAAGCGGACGACAGAAACGGGGTGAATTTAAAAATCAATCAGACGGTAAGAGAGAAAGAAGGAAAGAGAGCAAATCAATATAAATGTAACAGATATGGTCTGCAGTTCATTTATTGTGCCTGTAAATGGCGAATTCAATGTTTGTCGGAACGTTCGCTGGAAAATTTGAAGAATTTGTTCTTTTTGAATAACTACGAAAATCAACTACAAAATCGGTTTATTTTTTAATCAGACACATTTAAGATTCAAGTTTATTAAAAAAAAAAAATGCCTTTATCTGGTCGTTATTAATTTATAATATTCTTTACGATGATGATCTTCCCGACACTTATCTGACATTATCAATTATAATCATTAAAATTTAATCGACCATATTTTATAATAATGAGTCGTTATTAAAAAAAAAAAAAAAATTATTATAGTTGAGTAATCTGATTTTTAATCAATGATAATTGATAATAATATATACTTAATTATATTTACTCGGGCAATAAATAAATGTTAAATATATTATAATATTATTATGATCTAAATAAAATCGTTATAATAATATATTATAGCTAGTGCAGTTCAACATATAGATACAAAAAACATTGAACGTGGTTTTATCATAGACATTTAATATAATATGGGTTTCGCTCCGCTCATACCCCGCCATAGATTGCCTAGGCAGTACCGACATTTTTAAAAAAACAAAGCCGGGCAAAGATTATTTATTATTTATTTATATTGAAATGTAAGTTTTTAAGTTATATTATTTGATAAATTTTAATTTAAATAGTTTGAAAAAAAAAAAACAAAATTTTAATCAATAACTTGATTATTTATTTAATAAATAATTTTAATCCAACTTACCTAGTTATTTTGTTCAAATTTAAATTATTTATGAAAAGTTATCATGTATTTAAAAATGTTTTATGTACAAACTTATGCATATGACCTACGGTACTTGTGTTTATTTTTGGACGAAAATTACGAATTTTTACCGTAAATGTGAAAACCATCATCGCACAACGGGCATAAGTGGTTTATGGGATACTCACGTGAGTTATGTATCGGCTAACCATGTTCCACCTCGAGGTGTACAATAATGTAGAAAAAAAATTTTATGATTGTAGTCAATTTTATGTCTCCCATAGTTTATTTTACCCTATATTGACACTGCGGCTAGTTGATTCAGGAAAAAAAAAATCGTTGAAACGTTGTTCAAATAACATGTCAATATTAAAACGATAATTATTATAATTGCATTAATGATATAATCTATAAAAAAAAAAAAAATTCTGCGATATTAATAATAATGAAAACTTGTTATGTGGGTCGTTCTGTATATCATTATAATTTAATAATATTATATTGTTATTTTAAATTTATAACACAAAACCATTACAATTATCATCATAATAATTGATTTAGATAAAACGAAGTTTTTTTAGAGATTATTTATAAGTTTTTTTTTTTTTTTGATTTTTTTTTAATTAAAATCAAAACCATTAAAAAATTATTAATACAAAATAATATGATACCGATGCGCGCGTATGCAGTTTATGCGATTCAGTTTAACAACAGATGTTATTTTCTTTTGCGGTTTTCAATATTATTACCAATGGTTGTCAGTGCTGATGGTCACGCAGTAATTTACGAGTACCTATCTATTTAAATTTTAAGTATTATTTCAAAGGTAAATCTATAGTAATTATATTTCTCGTTAAAATATGTTCGTAAACCAAATATTACTTAATCGATAGATTATTTAAATTGCTGTAATTTCATTATTATTATTATTATTATTATTTTTTTTTTTACAAATTAATCAAAATGAACATAGTATTAGTCTTTCGAATACATTTTTGTGTATCACGCAAAATATTCGGTTTTTAGTAGAAAACCCGGGGTACGTATAGGAATAAAATCTTCGACGTTTCAAACGCAGTTTTCCCTTGCGGCCCTTTCTGTGGCACGCCTTTTCACCAAACAATCTTGCGTCGATTATACTAATATAATGATTAAGTCACTTTTAAAATGTTTTTGCCGGATTTAAATTTCTTTTCCGTGCTATTGTCCACGTCCAGTTTACATAATTTGCATGTTCAGTAGCATCGGGTCAGTTTTGTAATGGTCTGGTCAATGAAGTCATATAGTAATAAGTACCTACTTATTCATCGACTGTTTATTAACTATAAGCATACCCTCTCCATTCCTTCTCCCGAACGTTTAATTATATTTATAAAAATACCTCGATATTAAACATTTTATGCTTTTGCTCGTTTCGTCATTTTTATTGTATATTTTTAAAAATGTTTGAGTGATATCCACTCTTCAGCTCAAAAAATAAAGGTTGCACTCTATAGGTTTATTCTATTTTGTATTTCAACGATAGAACTCGACCATAATACGAATATATCAAATATTAATTACGCGCTCACACATTTCGGGCACTTTTGATCAATACATTAGCATCACTAAATCATAATGTAACGTTATGCGCCAAAGTCCAAAATTGTATGTATGTGCTCACTGTTTATAGTACAAGTATTACATTATAATATAATATTTTATTCATCACGTCTAGACTGATAACGGTCTTTTTTCTATTTAAATTTATTTCGGCCCAAAAAATTGTTAGTAATAATATCTCGTGTCTTAGCCGTTTAAAAATATATATAAGTAAATACTCGTAAGTCTCCAAGTATTGTCTCCAACAATGTCACCGTGTCTGTCACGCGATTCGTTCTCTCTGTTCTATTAACGCATCTCGATATAAATAAAACCCGAAAGGAGAAATAAAACCAAATATAATTTTCCAAAATGTATTTTCTATTTGGACGAAACGCACGCAATATTATCACGTTAATCGGCGATAAATCTTATGAGAAAAAGAAAAACGAACATTAAATATCGTTAAATTATTACACAGCATTCAGTTCTGTTATACAAAAAAATATTAATACCTGTTTATTATTATCTTCTATACCGCGAGATAACGATTATTATACAGGTACTGTTTGAAGTATATTATACTTGTAAATCTCCACCCCTCCTCGCCCGCACCAATAAATACACTGTGTAGACATGCGAAATATATTGAGTTTCAATGCGATTTATTGTTTTGCCATCGAATTATCGTATAATCGCAATCGCAATCTTAAATAGTAATCCGGCATGCCTACTTATAAAACACCTTCTGTAGACTTGCTAAATAGAATAGTATATAAAAAAAAATATTCTGCGACCGTTTACAAACAAAAACGTTTGAAAAAACTGATGACGTGGAGCTTCACGAATTTAGAACTAGTCGATTCGCACAACCTCCTGCAGTCCGGGCGCAAGACTGGCGACAAACCCACTTCGAAAACGTAACAATATTCAATGACACTTAAATAATATATTTTAATTCGCGCGGATTTGTACACTCGCGGTGAAAAACTGAATTTATAATCAAGAATTTCTTTTGAGAAAATTTTAGAACTGCTTATCTATCTTGTTTAAAGGTCATAAATGGGGGGAAAAAAAACTCAGACGTGAGTGGGAGGAGAGGCCAACGTTATTTTTCAAAATAACCTTTTCTTGGCGTCTCGCTGAGATTTTTTCTATTTTGAAACGATTTTGATCAGATCCGATCACGAGAGTTATTCGTTTCTGTCAAAATGAAAACAATAGTGTTGTTTTTATAATCTTCGATTCTTCGATTCACTGTAATAAATTATGATAACCGGCGTGTATAGTAATTTAATCGGTTTTTTGTCCGAAATCACGAACGTCATTAAATCATCCGAATAATGTAATTAATTATTATCTAATCGTCGTATACGGAAATAATATTTACAGCGCATTTTTATAACATTTTAATGATTTACTTGTACCTTGGTTTGTCTCTACGATTACAATCTATCCCCATATAATTGAATTCGTGTCGCGAACGATCGATTCGAATGTTATATTACGAGATCTAACGGATTGGTTTTATTTTTAATTTTTTATACCTACTTTATCCTTTATCTTGTGTTACGCACGTACGTAATTGAAGAACAAATATACTTTTTACACTATTATAATCGTGTACTTACCTATATATATTATGTTCGTATATAATATTATATTCGTAATCGTGTTATTTTTTTTCGTTATCTATAATATTTTTCTTGATTATCAAACACTTGTTGAACGACGAACATTAAACAAACAGTTCCAATTCGAAACTGCATATCTTATTACATTTTAGACACGTATAAAACCGTTTCGAACGCGCTCGCGTAATATTGCTCGTCGTACAACAACATTTCGTTGTAAAAATCGATTAAAATATATCATTAAACGATATTAGTTGCTATCCAGCGATATATGGTGACGGTCGCCTTTAAAAGTTTTAACAGCCGTTACATATTTTTGTGTACGGCACGTCGTCGTCTCGCTCTCGTTCGTTTAGAAGTAAGTATAATAATATAATCAGGGGTGTGTTTACGTTTAGGCACTACAGGCACGTGTCTATAATTTTAACGTTGCTTATCAAATGCCTCCCCCGGGTGGACATTTTTCCTTTGGTTTTAACTGTTTGCTTATTTTACGTAAGAGGGTTGACATTTTATACCCTGACTGAAAGTGGTGGAATTTTTTTTTTAAATAGCCATTTTTATAATTTTTGCTCATTATATAATTCCCGTATAAGAGGAGCGGCATTTTTAAGTGTCTCGGGATGCCAAAATTTTAAATACGCCCGACACATAACGTAACCCCGATATTATTTGTACCGATTTCTGCAGGGTTACGGCTTAGAATTGTTTATTAATTTGTAAACCTGCAATAATTTATCGTTTCATAACAATATATATTAACTAAACTAAAGTGTACCCTACACACCCAATCTAGCTCACTTACAGCAGTATCGACTTTTAAATTCTTAGCGAAGCGAGACATGTGTTGATTTTACTAAGATGTGTTTTTATTTAAATCTTTTTTTTTCTTTACACGTGTCTATAAATAACTTTTCTACTTATCTTGCTCAGATTGAAAAGTTCATAGGAATACTCTTGTAGAATTTTTTATTTAGTTGATTGAGGAAGTCTTTTTTGTTTTTACATTTTCCTCGTAATTATTTTCAATAAACGACAAAAACTAACGGTTTATCGTATAATTTTTGTCGATTTCCGGGTCACCTTGGCTACTAAGGGAACAAATACTACTTACAATACTCGTAATAACGTTCAGAATCGTTTTCCGTTAATAATGGCCTTTCGTCACGTACAGTTATAAATTAAATAATTGCCTATACTCTACGCATCGTCCCTTTTAATTTCCCACCTGAAACAGTTGCACACACATCGTCGGCGATATCTACCTTATTTTATTTTTTTTTTTTTTTATATCGAAGAAGACGGGCGTCGGGAGTTAAAATAATTAACGTTATTTTCCGACAGCGGTGGCGTCGTCGCGATAGGTATTGAGGATGAGGTCGTGTGTCTGTGCGTATGTTACATTATTATTATTATTACTATACGTGTGCGGGTAAAGCAAAAGATAAATGATCGACTACCGTTTTCTGGTGGCGTCGACGCCGACGACACGACAATCCGATGACGACGACCGGTTTCCTCTTCTTTTTCGTCGTCGTCGTCGTGTGTTGGCGCGTCGAAGGCGGCGTCGTTTGTACCCATAGACGGGGTTATTTTTTATACGCGCAATATTATAATATTATACCTGTATAAAAAAAAAAAAACCGAAAACAAAAAAACCGCACCACCGCCGCAGCCGACCTCCGGATCCGATTGGAACATGACAAATTACTCAACCCGAGGGACCGAAAACAAAAAAAAAACACGATCAATTAGTCCCGGAGTGCATTAACCGGTTGCCCCCACTTTCCCGATACTCTGCGTCGTTGCCCGACGCAGCATTACCGCCACGCATCGCGTCCGTATGGTAATTTATGTTTGGCGCCATAAGGTTTAAAAAAAAAAAAACGCGAGCGCGTGTGCACACACACACACACACATACGGATATTATAACACACACATTGTTATCTTTTTTTTTTTTTTAATTTTAATAAATCTTTTCTCTTTTTTTTTTGACGTCACCGCATCCCGGGACTAGTCTGTTTTCGATAAATTATTGTATTATTGCTTTTTCGATCAGTAATTATTTATAGCGATTTAAATATTAATCGTACTTATACATTATACGCATTTCAGACACCGGTATGGATTTGAATTTCGGAGACGGTCGGGAGTGCGTCAACTGTGGCGCCATCTCCACGCCGCTGTGGCGCCGGGACGGCACGGGACACTATTTGTGCAACGCGTGCGGGCTGTACCACAAAATGAACGGCATGAACCGGCCTTTGGTTAAGCCCGCCAAGAGATTGGTCGCATTCGAGACGGTGAGTATACGTAAAATGAAACCGATACGAGAAACGGACGGTTTTTTTTTTTTTTTTTAAGAGAAAACGCCAAGTCAAAAACAGCTACCTAAACCAGTGGATTTCAACCCTTTTGGATCCACGGCTCCTCTGATTTTGAAAACTAAATTAGTGGCTCCCGTACAAATAAAAATGATAATAATACAAATTAAAATAAATACGTTTACTTTAATACGCTCTACTATATTTACTATAGACGCGGTTCCCTTGATAATATATCCCTTGACACAATATTCCTGCATTTTTGTCTGGATATTCGGTCAAAAACTTAGTACTCGCTTGTAAAAACGAATGTACCACTTCCTCTAAAACGCGTATCAGGTAGTAGATTGTGGGAAAAGTCTTATCGTTAAATTACAAAAAACAACTTTTAAATTTTACAAAATCGGAAAACAATTTCAAAACCGTCATCAATAATACACTTATGCTAACAAAGTGTATTATTGATGACGGTTTTGAAATTTAAGGCCTTTTAATTCAAGTAAGATTCCAAATGCATGTCGTTATATTAATGTAATAAAAAGCCTTCATCTACTGATAATAATTGCGGCTTTAAATTTTACGTACAGGTTTGATGTATAAATCGAAAACGATCAAAATTGACTTGAGCGCATTTTTCATCAACAAATGTCCGATTACATTTCATTACCTATCAGTGGTCGTCGTGTCTACCGCATTCCATAAAACATAAATTATGGCATTTACGTTGAAATAAAAATGTGTTTGATCATTGATCACAAACACAACATTTTTAAATTTGCAGAATGGTTTAATTTAAATGCGATTTCGAAAAAATCCTCTCATTATGTTTCGAGACACGTTTTTTTTTTCTGATTACACCGCTTTCCCCCCAAAATTTACGATAATAATACGATATCCGTTGCATAACAACAGGAGACTGCTTGCGAAAATCAGATTTAAAACTTATACGACGTCCGTTATTTTGAACACTTTTACAGTGCCTATTGAAAACATATTTTATCAAATCGTTACACGGGAATTTATATGAATTCCGCTGTAGATAGTGTTTTGGGTTTTTTTTTTTTTTTTTTTAAACTTAATACATAATAATGTACAGAGACATTTTATCGCGACAGATAAAAACGATATATAAACCTGTATCGCATTAAATACCTACGGTGTTTGTTTGTCGAGTTGAAGTACTTACATTTTTTTTTTTTCGTTTCGGAAAAATGCATATACGATTAGATAATCGTCGATTGTAGTATAGAAAACGGTAACAACACATAATAGCGTATTATAATATTTCTACTTTTCGAGTATATAGGCAGTCACGACGAATTATTAAAAAATTGATCATCACCCCGTCGCGTGATTTTTCGCACGTCAACCAAAGTTTTTAATAAAACGATTTTTCGTATTCCTAGTGGTCGATTGGATTATTATTATTTTTTTTTTTTCATAATATTATCTTATTTTTGGTAAGATGAAGAGTTTTTACAGGGAGTGAGCATTGGACTCGGATTTTGAAAACTAGTTTTCGAAACGCGCTAAAATTATAGTTTGATGTGCTTTTTGATAAAATAATCGAAAACCGTAATAGATTTCAATTTGTAAGAAGTTATCTTTCAAAAGATAACAAAAAAAAATAACGTCGAAATCGGACGTTTTTGCGAAGCAAAAGAGTTAACGCTGTAATCCGTGCTTTGAACAAAAAAAACAGATCGTGCGCAGACCTCTTAATATAAAATTTAAAACTGATCGATTTTTCGTTACGAATCGTTAAGACTTGTATTGGTAATCGTTGACAATTTGAAAAAAAAAAACCTACTAACAGGGCCCTTAAACGACATTTTAATTGATTTACAGGCGTCCAACAGACGTCTCGGCCTGTCGTGCACCAACTGCGGCACCCGGATGACCACGCTCTGGAGGCGGAACAACGACGGCGAGCCCGTGTGCAACGCCTGTGGTCTGTACTACAAACTCCACAGTGTCAACAGGCCACTGACTATGAGGAAGGACGGCATCCAGACGCGCAAGAGGAAACCGAAGAAACAACCCTCGTCGTCGTCGTCGTCGTCGTCCGGCAACGGGTCCGCAAACACGGAGAACAACAGGCAGTCGTCTTCCGCAGCTTTAGATCTATTAGGTATGTGTGTAGTTGTGTCCGGTACGGATCCGGAGCAAAGATTTGGGGGAGGGGGACAGCAATGTTTTTACAACGCAAATACAATTACACTATAATATAATATTACCATGCGTATCTGTGTTTGAAATATCAGGACCTATAGAATTATAAAAAAAAAAAAAATCGAAGATATAATATGTCTGGGGAGAAGCCTGCGCTCATAGACCCCCCTGGATTCGTCCCTGAGCTGTGCGTATAATGTTAATCGAGCAATGTTAACATTCGGTTCTATGTTAACGTAACCGGTACTGCACGGAAAGGATCGCGTTTCCACTGCGAACAATATGGAAAAATCCGTATTGAAATTCGACTAAAATGTAACCACTTCGATCCGCATATGAAATACCTCCGATTCTCAAGTTCAAGCTAATTTCGCCTTGATAAAAGATCTACAAGATTAATACTTAGAGGCACCTACATCATTGTAACTATTAAAACTGTAAAGTCGCATGATAATATCATGGACGTAAAATGAATACACTAGGAATGTAGTGAATATAGTTAAAGCCAACATATGCGCGAGAGAGACAGACTAGATGCGTTTTATTGTTCGTGGCAGAATAAATATGTTTCGTTTTGTTTTACGATAATTTATTTAAAAACAAAAATACTGGAAATCGTAGACTGAACTATATAAACGCAATGGCCGATTCGACTTGCCGTGTCAAATCATGTGCCGTAATCACGATGAATGCGAATCAGGTATTATATTCACAAGATGCGATATCACTGTTTTTAACGATTAGATAGTCTTTGGCGAAACATCAAGTGTCCTTTTCATATCACTGCGTTTCATGATTTTATGATCGTTCCTGGTTTATTTATTTTATGTCTATGTACAGTATCATGTAATAACATATCTGAAACTTTAGTTCTAACACTGTAGAAAACCGCACTGAAAAACGATTTTGCAGTAATTTTAATCGATTATTTTTTCGGATGATCTAATCAGGGACGAGTAGTGTTTTCCAAGGAGGAGCAACGAATAGGCAATTTTTTTCTTACCCGTTTGATGTGCGAGTTGTTGCTTAGCCACGATATAAATCGACGGACACGATAATTGTATAAAACGATACGAACCCGTCGATTATATTTTCTTCGAGTTTCCTGCCGTGTTAGTATGGTCGATTTTCGTTTTATTTCGGAATAAACGTTATTAAATTTTCAGTATTATCGAAGCAGCAAATTCGTTTCGATAAACGTGACGTGTCCCAATTTCGAATCAGTGTCGAGGATTCTGGCTTTTTATTTTCGAAAAAAAAAAAAAACATTTTAGCGTTCCGATATTGTCTTTTGATCGTGTCCTACAATCGAATTTTTCGGCCGTCTCCCAAACTCGTTAACCCGGTGACGCATTTACCGACACCGGGTATCCGAGTTCAGCCCGAAGGGTAGTACGTACCCCCGACCCGTCGCGGTTTTTCGTGTACTATGGGTTTTCGGGTTTACACACGCTCGGGACGCCGACTTCCTTGGAGCGTTACCGGGGTCACGTTTCGGAAAACTCCTAGAACCTCCGGAAACCAAGTTCGAACCGGAACTCCTGTACGCAGCGTACGCGACCCGGTGTTCGAACGGCGTGGTTTCGGTCCGTCTCGCGAACGTCCGACCCGGGCGCGGTCACGTCCGGGCGACGGTTTAACCTTACTGATAATATCATGACACCACATTCGCGCGGCGTCGGCTGCACACGATATTGTTATTACGTTCTCCTTGTACCAACTGTTGTAAAATATAGACATACGTGACCGAAGTCACAACAACAAACAATGATTTAATACGGTACGCCTATACGCCTGTTATTGTTATTGTGCAGAGTACGCCGAGCGCGCGTGGCACGAAACCGGACGACGCGACACACCGCCGCAGCATATTACGCTGCGCGAATGAGCATTAAAAGACCTTTTTTTTTTTTTTTTTTTTTTTTTTATATATTCTTTGTCGATCGTACGAGTTCGCCGGCGTTTCGACGGATATAGAAACAAAATTTTTGAAAAAACAATAGCGTAACAAAGTGCGCGGCGTTGCCGTTTGCCGTGTTAAACGGTTCCGAATTATTAACCTACGTGCGAAATGTATCGTTATTCGAATAACCACAATAATAACGCAAATACCGCGGTACGAATTAGAAAATAACACCATTACGCGGTGTCGTATGCGTGTTTTGATAAAAAAAAATAAATAATCAGACCAGCTGCTGCAGATTGTACTGACTTGTGTCTGTTTCCAATTTATCTCAAATACAATTGTGAGGATTAATAATTTTTACGATTCGAATGCGGGCAGCGAGCTTCGATATTCATACAATATGGAATTTCGTTCGATTGAGTTAATTTTAGTCTCTGAATTTCTGTTTGCGTTTCGAGTTAGTAATGTTAATACTCTGATGACTGCACCGATACGACGGCGAGACGTAGCGGCTCGTGTGACCTCGGTGTAATATTGGTCATTGGCCGGTACACGCGGTGCATGCGTGAAAATAATAAATTACGAAATTTCGGTTCGGACGTGTGAAAATATCCTATGTTCAATCGTGTCGCTAAAAAGGCGTACGCTTGGCCGTCGTATGCTCAACCGTGTTTCATCAGTAACGCCGGTAACAATACTGACGAAACGACGGCGTACCGTAATAATAATAGAAATATTGACCCGACCTGTTGTAGGATCGTCAAAAAGCGTATCTCTAGATTATAATTAGCGCTCTTGCGACGGTATGGACTTTATATCCTAAGACCGTGTCCCGGAGTAAAAGGATGAAAAAAAAAAATTGCCAAATAATTTATGATGCATATTAGTTGTCGCTAAATTGCGAATTGTAATGCAATATTCGTTAAATGAACGGACAAAAGTCGTTCGTATAATAATATTGAACGGGACCGTGGCTCGTACACGTAAAATCGCACGGGGTCCGCTCCGTCAGACCATTTATATTAAATCTTGTTTATTTCACGGAAAAGAAAAAAAAAATTGTGATTGTCTCGCACTTTACATTTTAGTATTCGAATACTATGTAGAGAATATTTCGGTTTTTCTATTTCTTTCTACATTTAATCGACTACCGCGCAATTATATAGAATTTTACGCGGGCCAAAAACACACAAACGAAAAATACGGCTATGAAATTATTTTCTGAATCCCGTCAAATGACGAGGCGCGGTAATCTTTTGTCGATATCGAACCCACGGTGCTCGGTAAATACCACTAAATATCAAACTTTTCGGTATCGAAAAAATCAGCAAAAATAGGAGCACACGCCGGTAACAGGAGGGCGTGTTTAAACACACAGACAATTAAGTTGTTAATGTCTACTAAAAGACAGGCCCAGACGCCCTTTTAAAACGTAACCGAATCAACACGGGTTCGTTAAATGGGCGCGTACCGCGTTCGAGGCACGCGTGCTTTGTGCGCGAGCGATTTTATCGATTTCCACGATAAACATCATTAAAAAACCGTTTCGCTGTTTTTTTTTTCCCTTTCTTCTCGCTTTTCCCGAAGAAAAGTCGAACATTTGATAGACGAAACCCCTGTTAAACGAAACGCCGGGCGAAACGTTAACGCGCCGGTGGCTCTGACGGTCTGTACGATCGATCGATTACATTTGTTCGATTTTCGGTTTTTTTTCAGTGAACAAACATCATACGGCGGCGGCAGCGGCGGCGGCGGCGGCGGCGGCTGCGGCGGCTGCGGCGGCGGCGTCGGCTTCGGTCGACATAAAACACGAACACTACGACGGGACGGCCGAACACTTCCTAATCCCCGGTCCGCCGGTCGGCCACCCGCACCACCACCACCACCACCACCATCATCCCCAGCTCGGCGGGTTCGGTTTCCCGCTGGCGCAGGCCCCGGGGCCGGCCCACCACAACGGCTACCAGCACGTCCTGTTGAACGGCCACGTCAACAACAAACTTATGGCGTCCTAATGCCGCGGACGCGAAAACGGGGGGGCGGGGGCGGGGAGAGGAGTGCGCCGCGACTGCACGCTGTACATTTTTATTAACATTGTTATCAATATTATTATCGCTATTATCGTCATTATCATTATTGTATTTCATCGTTAAACGCCGTGTGATCGCGATATTGTAACGGTGCATGAAAATCATTGTTATTCGATAGGCTTTCGGATTTTCGATAAAAAAAAAAAAAACCCGCGAACTTTTATATCCGAAAAAAAATACGCCGACAATAATTCCAGAGTCGGTTTCGAATTATCGCAAAACACATTTGCCGCACGCACGCTCTTTCTTATCACCTCGCGGGAACTCTTCTGCACGGTTTTCATCGTTTACGAAAAATCCGGTTTCCATTGAATTACACTCAAATCGCGAACAGGCGAAATTCACCGTCCGTAGTGCGGGGCGTTTTTCGCGTTCGATTCACAAAAAAAAAATTTGTTTTTAATTTTTTTCAAAATTAGCTGTTTTTCCCCTTTTATTTAAATAACGATTGTTTTTTTTTTTTAAATGTATATATTTATATTATATTATATCATAGGTATAGGATCGACTATTAATTTATATACATTCGCGAAATAATATGCATACATAAAAATATTATACATTATAGAAAAATAAGTAAATTTATTATAATAACATAATATACTATTAAAATTGTAAATAACTAAATGAAAAGAAAAAAAAAAAATCAGTTTTATAAAAATGAATAAAATATATTATATTGTATATTATTGATTGTATATCGTGTTATTGTCCAAAATGTATAATCGTGTGAACCATAGCAAGGTTGCAGAACACGTCGAAGAATACAATAAAATGTTTACTCGGTCAAGTCAACGTATTCGAAGTCAAATGTTTTATTGGCTAATAACCGAGTTTGGTGTTAATTTAAAAAAATGTAAACTATTAATTTACGTACATTGTTTATATTTGTGAAATTGTTAACATGATAGTGAAAATGATTAAAAGTTTTTTTTTTTTTTTATGAATAGCCAATGTCAAATCGAATTATCGAATTGAAATTGAAATAAATATTACGTTTTTTCAATCTCGGAATACCAAACACGTTATTGAGCGAAAAAATAACTATTAATATTATACTTGTTCAATGTATTTTGTTAGTGTATAGATATTGTAAATGCAATATCGTACAATATCGATTTATTAAAAAAAAAAAAAAAATACATATGAAAGCTTTAAATAACAAATCGACTTAAGCACTTGTTCCTTGGGACCGTTGATTTATGAAGCCAATGTAAAAATAATAACGTTAATAATAATTTTAATAAAATTAATACAAATAACAAAAAAGGATCGAAGGCTAATAAGTTAAATGTTAAACCTTTTCACATTTTAAGTATTTAACCTATTAACCTTTTAACTCGTTTATAATGCTCAGCTTCGATATTTTGTCGCCGGTACAACTTCATAATATTACACACACACACACACACACACACACACACACACACATGTCTGTGGCTTTTCTGATTTTTCGATCGATTCGCTTGTTAACGTTTTAGTGAGCTTCAACATCCGAACTCTAATTATTATATATTATAATATCCCGATAAAAACGATTATGCGTTTGACAATAATTACAAAACTATTATAATATATATCGAAATCATAAAAAAAAATCGATAACAATTTAATTTTGTACATACAGTGGTATGTGTGCGTAAAACAAATTATCGTGCGCGTTTTGTGTGATTTGTGTATTAGAGTTCACATTGACCAAATTTGTTTAATGCGATCGATAATAATTATTATAATATAATATTAACACGGCGACGTTCGGTTTGATTAAATAGGTTTTGAAAACAAATCTATACAGCGATAAAAACTCGAGTACCATCACGAGATTATTGTGCTATAATAATATTACAACGTGTATTATAATAAAACATTATTGTATTATGTGAATATTGATTAAAATATGCATTTTCGAGATAAAATACAATTTAAAATGGTCGTCGAAAGCAAACTATTAGTTTATACGAGAGACAAACAATTTGATTTTGACGATAATTCCCATCAGAAGAAAAAAAAAAAAACGTTTTCAAAAAACAATAATTTTGGACAGCTCGTCATATTATATTATCGACGTGGAAAAAAACCGCCGAGTTCATCATCACATTTAACTTTACTCCCTTGAAATTCGGTTCTAACTTAGACGATTTGTCTGTGAGATTTTTTTTTCCTAAAACATAAACCGATTAGATATAGGTGGCAGTAAGTTTTAACTCATTGGGAATATTGGAAATATTAGTACGAAAATAATTATAAAGTGAAACTTCTCTTTTGTACTGTACATACTATTGTTAAGGTCACTGAAGTTAAAAGGTGAAAATAAAAAATGTCGGTCTTACAGTTTTCAAATTTTTGTAGGATACGTCGCCAAAAGTTCTTAATATTACATCACACGGATCTGCTAGCTGAGATACATTACATGCAAAAGTTTTTATAAATTAAACTATTTCTATGGTTGTCTATCTAATGAGTTGTAAATAAGCACAGAGTTTTGAAAAATTTTACGATCGCCTTAGGTCCCGTGAAATTTAACATTTTTTCTACCTCTGAAGAAAAAAAAAAACATTTGCATATTTTACATACAATGAAATATAGCTACTCATTGTTTACTGTTGCGAGACATTAGATATTAGTACTAAATCATATATACGGGTATTCGCTGCTGATAATTAACAAATAATGTATGTATAAAGTGTAAATGTTATTTATTTTCTATAAATTCGCAGTTAATATTTAAAATTAATACGGATATTTCAATAAAATAATACTTAATATTGAATAACACATTGAGTAACACATTTTATACACTATGAATATAAATTAAACTGTGTGGCTTGGCTATGCCGAATTGTGTTTATAAATGCATCTGTTGCTTAACGATAAAACGCAAGATATTATCATCAACACCAACAATAATTGCGGTATCTACAATCACAAAATAGGCGACGACCCTAGCGGTTAAACCGATAGCCGATAAACATTCCAAGTTTCTGATCGGTTATATCGAAATTTTTGAAAAATAAAAAAATAAACCGTATTATATTGCCCGTTGCCCGTGCAATGGTATTGCGAAGGGCTTTAAAGCCCCCGGGCACCCGCGTACATGGCACCTACGAGGTCGTATATACATTTATACCCAATAATTATATGAACGCGAGCAGTCGTTGTAAATGTAATGTAATGAACAGTTTTTTTTTTAGTTTTTCGGAAATATCAAATTTAAAAAAAAAAAAAAAAACCAGCGCAGATAGTAAAAGTACGCGTGTTGCAGCGATAGTTTGAAAACGTTATTGGAAATTATTGTTCTGTTGACGCGTTAACGCGCGCGAGGGCGAAACCCGGAGACAAGACTGGTTTTCCGTCGTCTCGCAACAACCCCCTACTTCCTCTCTTACCCCCCCCCCCCCCGGGCACAAACGCGAACATTTCCGGAGAACACGGTGCGACAAACCCAACCCCTTGGGGGGGGGGGAAAGAAACCCGAGGAGATCAACTGCCTCCGCCGCCGTGTATAATAATAATATTGTGTACACGACCGGTTGTCATTGCGGTGTACCGTGACCGAATACCTATCTATAATCTGTGTACACGTATAATAAATCGATTTATTCGACGCGCCAAATAAAAATACGATAATATATTGTCGTAATTTATGAATTATCGTGTAATAATAATCGCAATAAAATCCGCTTAGGAAACGTAATAATAATAACAACGCAATATTAACTCGCGGACACGTGTAATATTACGTTCGAGAACGTTTCGATACGTGCCCACACGACTCGTAGGTTTCTAAACATGAGTTTAGACCCCTTTCAACTATCCTCGTTGTAGAGTTACCAGGCCACCTATACATGATTGTTGTGACGTGTTATTCGGTTGACGAGTACGCGTATTAAACCATTCGTAACGTTATTATTAGTAACGTAAATTCGTCTTACTACTATCGCTATTCATTTGAGTATGAGAGGGTATTAAAATATATACATTTATTATAGCCAATATTAAAAATATAAACAGTACTTAGTTATGTATAGAACTATATAGATCGTTGTTTAAAATACGTTTTGAAACCCGGGAACATGGCTCGTTTTTAGAGTGGGCTTTTTCAACTTGTCCGTTTGTTTTTAACATAACCAACCGCAAGGTACAAGTATAACTTATACTTGTGGCGTGGCGAAAGACTTTATTTGAGGCACGTACTTTAATTCAAAAGGTGGTAGGTGTCCCGAGGTAACGGGGTCCTCTCACATATCATAATGTAAGTAAGTACATACTTTGAAATCTTTCTGAGTTACCAGACGTAAAAACGTAATTGCTAATATCGCGACATCATATTGGACAGTATACTTATCTAGTACCAGTTTTAGACTGTAGTACCAACCTGCTAAGATACTTAAGGTGGCATTCCACTGATACCGTGTATACATGTAGACCGTGTGGACCGTGTAATATCTAACCCAGTTACCACAATATTTGATAATCTAACCAAAATGGATCTTTGATAAAAATAAATAAAAAATCAATTATATGTTGATGATGAATTACTAATTAATTTAAAATATGAATTCAAGTCCACATTTTCAATCCGAAAACAATAATATTTTTATTGAATGTATTAATCATAGTGAATATTCACTATTCAATAGCTATTTTTATTGTGTGTCTAAACGTAAATAAAAAAACGATATAAAAGTATGAAGCACGAAACAAAATGTACACAATGAGATGGTAAATTATTGTAAACAAAAAACGAAAGTATAAAAAAAAACGATTACGCGTGATATGGTTATGATGGGCTCGACTAAATGGAAACTATCGAACTAATGGTGTATCCATGATGGACACAGGTATGTTGGTCCACGTATAAAGCCGATAAGTCAAAAAAAAAAATATAAAGTCATCAGTATTTTTTTCATGTAGGGACCCTATGCGCCCATAGTGGGTGGTGTGTGGTAGGTATAAATCATTGTGCCTAATTAGGTAATTGAGTTCACCACGCCACTGTATAAGTATACAATACGGTTCGCATAGTGCGTTCGGGCTACTTCTTAAACCGAACGGTTTTTGTTAGGTGACAAAGTCAGAATTCGCTATTACGTGTGGTGACCACGGAAGGGAGCCGGAAGAAAAAAGAACCCTCCACATGTAACGCTGCCGTTTTTTGAGATGGGGAGATGTGACGGGCAAAGATGAAAGCTATCCAAATGGAGAGTCAGACCGGAAAGTAAAAGAAGATGATAGAGAGAACCGGATGATTGGGCGTACGACGGTTGGTTATAGTGGCCAAAACACTCGAAAGGTAAAACATTTATATTTGGTGGAGAGGTCATTATGAATTTATACTTAAAAATATTAAATAAAATCATATTAAGGAACTTATTTTGACAACACATTTTATAAAAATCTGATAAAATTTGGCATAAATACTGTCAAAGGTGTTTTAAGACCCATCGAAAAAAAAAAAAAAAAATGACTAATTTTTCTTGGGATTTTTTATCAATATAACCGTCTTATTCATGCTTATACGTGTATAACCATCCGCACAAATTTTACGTTTTTTTTTTTTCTAAAGAGTATTCAAAATATAGGTATGGTCAACGCTATATTATAATATTTTAAAAATGAAACGTACGTTGAAAAGAAATTTAAAAAAACATCCCGGATGATAATTAAACTCGTGGCCAACCACAATTAATTTGATTGGACAATAATAATGATAAAATCTCGTCTTGTCTTCTCGTTATCGAACATCATTAAATGCCTGGTCGTTGAACACGGAGATTATTATGGAGTTACAAGACTCCATACTCGGTATTTTTTCTGTCTGCGGTTTCCTTTTGGCCTAAGAACATTTTTGTAAAAATATACCTATATAATGCG